CCCACATCTCCTGCATCTCCTGAGCCTTCGTCTTCTCTTCTGAAAAGCGGAAATAATAATACTATCCTGACCATGCAGTTGTGAAGTCAACATAAATGACTCCTCTTCTGGCCTGACAGTCTGTTCTTTCTTTTGTAACGAATATTTAATTCGTTGTATTTAATCCCCTTGTATTTTGGGGAATAGCTTCCCAATCTGTCTCTCTCACTCGATGGTAACTCGTGAAGAGCAGGAACTCAACCCTTATCTTTGCAGCCCTCAAAGCCAAGGACACTGTTTCATATGCAATTGAGTGTGTAAGTCGGGGCCTGTTTAGGAGGCCTAAACCACAGAAAAATTTGAACATGAAGAGTGTAGTATAAGGAATTATTAATTTATTGTAATTATTAATTAGAATTATTTGATGGGCACTGGAGCAGCAGCTGCGCAGTGCTGGAGCAACTTTGAGGACACATCCAGGAGCAAAGGAGAAGCCCCAGCAAGATGGTAGGAAGGACGAAATCACGTTTAAAATCAAACCGCATGCTCACCAGAGACGCTCAGAGGGGTCAAACAAACCTTGTGTGCACCAGGACCCAGAGACCCCACAGAGACTGAGACAGAACTGGGTTTGAGTGTCTCCTGTGGAAGTACAGGTCAGCAGTGGACTGCCGCAGGGGCAGGGGCTTTGGGTGCAGCAGACCTGGGTATGGCATAAGCCCTCTTGGAGAAGGTCATCATTAACCCTACCATAGAGCCACCGGACTTACACAGGACTGGGGAAACAGACTCTTAGAGGGCACAAACAGAACCTTGTGCACACCAGGACTCAGGAGAAAGGAGCAGTGACCCCACAGACCTACCCAGAGTTGCCTGTGAGTGTCCAGAAGTCTCCAACAGAGGCCTGGGTCAGTGGTGGCCTGTGCCAGGGTTGGGGGCACTGAAGGTAGCAGTGTGTGCATGGGACCTTTTGAAGGAGGTTGCCATTATCTTCATTACCTCCACCATAGTTTGGCCCCAGGTAAATAACAGGGAGGGAACACAGCCCCACATATCAACAGAAAATTGGGTTAAAGATTTACTGAGCATGGCCATAGCACTGGTCATAGCAACACAAGAGAAGACTCTACACATGGACATTACCAGATGGTCAATATGAAAATCAAATTGATTATATACTTTGTGGCCAAAGATGGAGAAGCTCTATACAGTCAGCAAAAACAAAACTGGGAGCTGACTGTGGCTGATCATGAACTCCTTATTGCCAAATTCAAACTTAAATTGAAAAAAGTAGGGAAAGCTACTAGACCATTCAGGTATGACCTAAATCAAATCCCTTACGATTATAGTGGAAGTGAGAAATAGATTCAGGGGATTAGATCTGATAGACAGAGTGCCTGAAGAACTATGGACAGAGGTTCGTGACACTTTATAGGAGGCAGGGATCAAGATAACCCCCAAGAAAGAGAAATGCAAAAAGGCAAAATGATGGTCTGAGAAGGCCTTACAAATAGCTGAGAAAAGAAGAGAAGCTAAAGGCAAAGGAGAAAAGGAAGACACCCATTTGAATGTAGAGTTCCAAAGAATAGCAAGGAGAGATTAAAAAAAAAAAAAAGCCTTCCTCAGTGATCAATGCAAAGAAATAGAGGAAAACAATAGAATGGGAAAGACTAGAGATCTCTTCAAGAAAATTAGAGATACCAAGGGAACATTTCATGCAAAGATGGGC